GTTCGTGTGTTTGAGAAAGAGAGAGAGAGACAGAGAGAGAGAGAGACAGTGATAGAGAGACAGAGGAGAGAGCGAAAGAGATAAAGAAAAAGATTAAGCCCCATCAACACTTACTGATGACTTTGACGAGAGAGACATCTTTTCCACTGGGCCTCACATAAAAACGGCTTCTTGGCGCAGCTGCTCCTGGAACTGAAATGCCTTTTATAGATCGAAGCATCAATTTGCCCAAAAACACATTATTTGCATTTCAAGCCGATACGAAGTTGCCAAAAACGGATATAGAAGAGCCAAAGTCTCTGGAAACTTTGCAGAAATTTTCAGAGGACGGCTAGCAAAGCCTCTGCTGGTTCAGGAGGGCATATTTGCCATAGAATATCGGGCATGGAAAGTGCTTCTCCTGCCCCCAATATGGGCTGCTGCTCACCATTCTAGTCTTCCCATTTTCCGGTCATTTTTCGGCCGGCTGTTGTAGGGGGATTCTTTGGCTGTTCTCTTTTGCGCTTGCATCCAGTGCATTTTCGGGGCAATAACAGGGACGCAAAAAAAAGCGGAAAAAGGGTTAAAAAACTAACCCTTAAACGTTCCACGAAGTAAAAAGTAATTAATCAGGATCAGGGAATTTTTAGAAACTTTTCCTTTAATGAATAAAGTAAATCTATGAAAATTAAATTACAACCGCACAACTACGTTCAGTCGTCATTACGCTTCGACAGTTTACTACAAATTACGTCAGCTACGCAGAATATTATAAACAGTCATCTCAGATTCCGCGACTACGCAATGCTCCGCTCGTGCCACCCGCCTAGTTCCCGCCTAGTTTATCGTGAAATTCGAGAGTTTATGGTCAGGACAGTCCGACTCGCACCGACAAGCCACCCAAAATCGAGAGCGACGAGCCCGGGCTGAAAACAGCAATTACCGGAAAAAGCGCGAAAAGAGAAAAGCAAGGGGGAGAAGCCAAAAAAGAGCCCTGCCAAGCCAGACTATCCCGGTACCGGAACTATACCAAAATCCGGTGCACCATCGAAAATGTACATAAATTCGTGAAAATGGAGACGTTGATATGAGTTCTGTCTAGGGAACGAAAAGAAGAGAAAGATCTTGCCGTGTGTGGCAATCGGAACAGCACGAGGTGAAGGTATGGGAAAGTGATTATTTCCCTCATCACCACCACCTCGCCTTTTTACGAGAACAACATCGCCTTTCCTGTCGCGCTCGAGAATGGGTTGATCCAATTTGTGACCTGGGGCGAAAGTCAGTGGTAAGCTTATTGTCGTAGAAGATAGACATGACCGGAAGCGTTTCATACGTTCTTTAAAGGGACAAGAAAGACAACGCTGTAGTTTTTGTGGCCATCAAGCTTCCTATTTGCTGGAAGTCCTCTGTTTCGAGCGTCTTGCGCAAAAAATCAACTGCCGGTGTTGAGCTTCTTGCGAACTTGTCTTGGCTTCCCCAAGACTTGGGCTTGGGCTTGGCTTCGCCTTGATATTAAGGTTTAGCTTGGTACCTAGGTTCTGGGGATCAGTTGCTCCGCTACAGCTTTCGAGTAGACTCAGACTCATGATTGTCCTTCGACTTTGATTCGGGCGGGCTTGGACTAAAGTTTACTTGATTTTAGAGCCTCGGCTCCATCTGGGGCTTAGCATGGCTTAGGCTTGGCTTGGGCCTGACTTAGACTTAGTTAGGCGTAGTTTCCGCTTGGTTGAGGGGTGGCGGACGTTTTTATAAGAAGGGATCGGGCTATTCTTGCCCAGGATTCGCGTAAGCGCAGAATTTGCAGAGGCATAGGCCGGGCCTAGCCTAGGCGTTGGCTCAGGTCCGGGTTTTTCGAGCTTAAACTTCAGCGTCGTCTCAGGCTTATACTTGTTCCTTATATTTCAACTATTTTTAGTAGCGAAAGAGCAATAAAACGCTATAAGAAAAGAAGTGACTCCCCACCAAACCGATATGTTTTTCTCAAAGATGCTGATTTGTACGTGTAATGGGGGGAAGGTCAGGTACTGAGTGCGGGCGTGAGGGCGTGTGGATCGGAACTGGCTAATTTGAATTGATAGACGCCCTCACAGTTCCGCGTTGGAGACGGTAATTGAGAAATGGGGAAAAATGATCTGTCCCAAAATGGCTGGCAAAAGCAGGGGGCGGATGGATCTTCGACCTTGCCGGCTTTAATGGGAAAATCGGAGGGGAAAAGCGGCTCCCAGGGCGAGGGGAAAGCCTAGAGAATAGCACAATAAAAAGTGGAAATACTAGGGTGGGGCTCTGGAGAACAAGGGCAATTTGTCCCGGGATCAACGGAGGGGAACGGTGTTGCGATTGAGAGGTGTTCCCAATTGGGAGGGTTTTCCAGAGAGTTTTTCGTCGCCAGTTGACTGGTTTTTTTTTTTACGGGGTCAAGGAATCAAAAACCGAAACCGGATGTGGGTTGAGCGTATAAAAGCGGTCTATAAGAACATAAAACCAGCCATTTTGACGGTCTTATAAAAATCTTCAAATTTCTTCAGCCGATCGACCCGAAATTTTATAGATTTCAAAAAAATTGATTTGGGATCATTTTTTTCTATTTAAAGGAACCTGGAAGGCAGAAAGCCACGGCTGAAGTCTATCTTATATTTAAAAATGCTATAAAGTAACAAACGGCCACAACTTAGGATCTGTAGACTGGAAATAAAAGGTACTGAAAGTCATTAAGTCCATAAGTCAGAATCCGGCTCATTCCCCGAAAACAACAAGTTTATCGATTTTTTCTGTGAGCGAATTTCACGGCAAAAAACCTTGATTTTAGGTGTAGAAAACAAGAAAACTTATAAAAATAAGGTTAAAATTATGTAAAAAGAAGAGTTTTGTATTTTTAGGTTCACCTCTTGTCCAAATTTGTAGGCAAGGAAACCTATCAAAAAATTAATTTTTTTGGGGGGGGCCATATATTCAGGGCTTTTTAGCGAGGCTTTATGGAGCCAATAACAAAATTTCTCCATCTCTACAACTGACCTAAAGGCATCTAAACAACAAAAATTTTTATCAGCTACGTGCGACACCGAAAAGACGATGTCCATCTGGTTGAAACACTCGACCCCCGAAGGCTGGTGTTCAGTTGAAGATGCTGCTTCTGCGTTAGTTGCGCCGGACACTCGACGGATCGTTTTTTTGTCGGTCCACTTTTTGTATTTGCAGAACAGCTCGACGACCACAGGGACCTCGCCTCCATTCCATCCCTTTACTCAACCGCACACCTCCTCCTCGCCACCCCACTCCACTTATCAATTTGACCCTATGGCCGTCGAAAGTGGCCTGGACAGCAGAAAACCGTGAAGAAAAGTGTTTTTTTTGAAAGGTTCGCTAATAATTATCGGAAGAATTTCCATAAAATAAATGCGAAGAGGAAAACCCGGAAGGCCAAAAAAAAATAAGAAAAAAAAAATGGGAGAACAAAAAAACAAAAACAAGAAAAAGAAAAAAAAAAAAAAGAAGGAAGACCCAAGGAACAAAAGCGCCAAACAAAAAAACCAAGAACCAAAAAAGAAAAAAAACAAAAAAAACAGGCGAGCAAAAGAAAAGAAAGAAAAAAAAAAAAAAAAAGAAAGAAAAAAAAAAAAAAAAAATATAAATTTTTTATTTTGGTTTTTATGTTTTTTTTTTTTTTTTTTTTTTTGGTTTTTTTTTTTTTTTGGGGGGGGTGGGGGGGGGGGTGGGGAGGGAAGTTGGATTAAAAAGAGAAAAGGGTGGGGGAGAGTGGGGGGGTGGGTGGGGAATTTAGGGTAGAGGAGAAGGGGAGGGGGGAAAAGGAGGGAGGAAAGGGGGGGGGGGGGGGGAGGGAGGTTTTTAGAAATTGCAATATTTATTTGCTAGACAATTTTTGTAGCTTTTCAACAACCTCGTCCTCGATACTCAGGTTGGACAACACAACCAACGCTTGCTTCCCATCAATGTTAAGCGACTAAAAAAGAACTATTGCGGTTTTGATGACGATTATACTTTATGACCTTCCGGGGCCCATCTGATCATCGTATCATTGTACGTCTCCGTACCCCAAATTGGCAAAATTTGAAATTTCTCGTAAATTTCGTGGGAGATTTTTGCGAAAAGAGCATCGCTGAAAATGTCTAAGATATCGGAAACCTGGAAAAAGTACCGTAATCTCTTTCCACGATACTCCGGCAGTACGTTGACACCGATTATAGAGCCTAAATATCGAAAAATGGCAAGATTTATTGATTTTGTATACCCTCTTCCCTAGCCATGGCAAACGCAGCTAATTTCCCAGAATATGTACGAATTGCTACGGTAGGTAAATATTTAGCGCGTAACCTGAAAAATTGATATTTAGAAAATAGACAATCGATAACTGATCTTGTATTTTTAACCTACCGTATCAATTCTTTAGTAGCTTCCAGACCAAATTGCCAAACGCTCAAAATAATATCCAAATCTTCTTCTCGGATCTTATCATACACAAAACTAAAAATTCTCGGTAAAAAATTAAATATCTGCATACCCTGGAGGTAAAATATTAGTTTTCGGCGGTTCCGGAGCATCTTTGTAGACGTAAAGATGCACGGGTCTTGTATTTTCCTGCTGGACCCCAAATTTTGAAAATGCCTCCAAGACCTGATACATAATTTCCGGGACCCCAATGGCTTTTCCGTTTTTGGCAGAGCAGATGGCTTGGATGCCTAAAATCGAGATAAAGAGAAGGCACGACATTGAAAATAATCTGTAAAATTAAGACATTACGTGAACTAGAGTTAATTAAACTTGTTTTAAATCGTTCAAACCAATTGAAAACAGCTTTAAAAGCGTTTTTTGGTTCTGAAAAATTATGAAAGGTTAGCGTGGGTTAAGAAACTTCATAAATTTAACAATACACAAAACTTAAAGCGAATGCAACAATTTTGTGCTCAAAAAATGCCAAAACCCGCCCAAAACGTTCTTTTTTGCGTTTTAAAGTTAAATTTTTTAGTAAAGTTTGAGATGCCCAGTCTTTACAGAATACAGTATTACTTACCATGTCCGGCCGCTAGTATCTGCGATACAAATTTGTCCACCTCTTCTCCATCAACGGTCCCACGAGAAGCGGCGTAGATATGATAACTACAAAAAATTAAGTTAATTTTCTATACTAACAAATCCAGCAGCGGCTTCACGACCACCCAATATTTTGAGACCGCATTTTCATAGGAATATAGGTGTAGCTCGGCATCCGGAATAACACCTTTCAGATGAAATTTAATGGCTCCTTGGATTTGCCGAGTTATGGGGATTTTCTCCAGTTCGGTTAGAGCCTTTTTGAGCTCTGAATTTGTAGCGGCGTAGTGAAACATTTTTGGGAGTAATTCGCGCTTGTAGCTTTCAAGAATTCCAGAAAGAACCGTCTAAAGGTCTAGATTTCAGAGCGGCTGACCTTGCAATAACTGATAAGCTGCCTCTTGCTGGAAATGGATGACAATTTAGTGCCCAAAAATCGATGGTACTAGCGTGAGAGTATTTCTTGACATTTGGCGTTAAAAGCGCGTCTCTAGGCCCTTTTTAATGGCACTGACATGCCAGGGTTTGGATTTTTGTCTTTAACTTTCCGCTGGTTTGGCAATTCGTAGTATTATTTTGCCGCAATATTTTGTCGTAATATTTTGACGCAACATTTTTTGTATCATAGATATATCATTGAATCGATGTATCTAAAACACTTTCTAAGCCTAATCCCGGCCTGCACACCAATCGTCAAATTCGAAAAGAAAAACGTCGCCTGCTTCCCGTCAAGTTTCAGCGGCTATAAATCGGCAAAATCCCAAAGTTTTCATAGATTTCATAAGCTATTTTTGCGAAGATCACTAAAAAACTCTGGAGCTAATAAATATCAGTTTTTCAAGGTAAATTATAATAATATAATACAATTATAATGAAAAATAAATTATGCGTTGAAAAAGGGCTCTTCGCAATAAATAATAAATTATATCTAGGTTATCAAAACTGCACGAGAGAGAGGGAGAGAGAGAGATAGAGAGAATGGGAGTGATAGAGGGGGAGGGCGGGAGAGAGAAAGAGAGACAGACCTGAGAGAAAGAGAGTGAGTGAAAGAGAGCGCGAGAGAGATATGCGATGCAGAGCGGTAAACTTCTTCATTCAAAATCCAAAACTTGCATAAATCGAGAAAATTTTCAAGTGCATTTTGCATATCGTCGCCTTTCTTGGATCAGTCGCACTTTGCCTATAGTTTTCTATATTTTTGGCAGCTCTTGTTATTCCCGAGGAGATGCTGCGGACCCTGCGGCGCTTCTTCTTTGCCAGGGTAGGGTTAATTCTGCCAATTTCAGGGAAAGAGCAAAGCTGCATCTTTGTTGTACTATGTTTAGAAGAAGAAGAAGAGTCCCCCATGAGAATACGGTCTCCGCGTCTACGCTTCCGCCGGCCTTTTCGGCCGCCTCCGGCTCGTGCTCGTCGATTTGGAAAAAAAAAAAAAAAAAAAAAGTTCTGCGCGAAGCATGATTTCCCCCCCGCACAGTTTTTTCCCCCACGCGAAATAGAACAGAACCAATTTTAGCCCGGAAAAACTTTACTAAGATTAAGAAGACCCACCGAAAGAAAGAAAAGAAGAAAAAAATTATTGTTGGGATATAGGATCTGATACACCTCTGGTCCAAATTTGGGACCGTTCGGATGGAGGGCGGCAAAATACCGGTTGGGTGGTTTGGCACACCCAGCTTTCGGGATATCGAGTTCTGGCATTCAGAATTTTTGGATTTGCATTCGCGATCGCAAACTTTTTTTTCAGCGCTCGTAAAAACGACTCGCCCGAAGTGCTGAACTACATCGACGCGGGCCTGCGCGTCACCGCGGCCATCCGAGCGCTGGAAAAGGCGCGCGGCCAATTCTACCCTAGCATCCACGGATTTGGCGATGGCCTGATCTCCTACACTCACTACTTTTGCACCCCGGAGTGTCTGGTACTACTTACCATCACGTTATCAGGCATTTCGGTTCTTGAGGATTTGTGGGGGGATCAAATTTTTCGGCACCAGCCTAATTTTTTTTATGAATAGCGTATGCGTTTTTAAATTGTTTTTAGCTATTCAGAAGCATAGAAACTCGACAAATTTTAATTAAAACATTCAAGTGCACGTGGCAAAATCCTATAGGGTTCGCGGAGGGGAGGGAGAAGGACCCAAAAAGACCAAATTTTCGACTTTTTTCTAACTTTTTTTGAAAGTTTTGCAACTTTAAATTGGACAAAACCGACTGAAAACACTGTGAAAACATTTTATATTTGATTACTAGGTCGACCGGGACCGCCTTTTGGAGAATTTTTATACAGGCTTGCCCAAGAAAAAAAAAACGCGCTCCTCTCACTCCATTGAGGATTATCGGATCGGAATACCAATTAAACCATTAAAAAGCCCTTGAAATGGCGAGTGTGCAACCGCTTTCAAAAACCATGTTTTTGTCGAAATGCTTGATTTTACAACGTTTAAACACCGAGCATTACAACGCAATTCACAAAGGGCCCTGCATCGAATTAACGGCTACTTCCGGACATTTTGCTTGAAGAACTTAAGGCAAATTAGCTCGTATGCAACCCTGAAGACAGGAACATTTTACAAAATGGCTTGTAAAATAGCGCGTTTCAATAAAAACATGATTTTGGAGATTGTTGCAAACTAACCGTTTGAAGGGCTTTCGAATAGTGTAACTGTCATCACGATCCGATACCTCTTCGTCGGGTTGGGGGGGGGGGTGTTTTGATTGGGGTACCCTGTGCATATTTTGACCTGTGTTGTGGGCAGCCAACGTTTTTCAGAAAGACGTCCACGCCAAGAAGCTGATCCTCTGCAACGAGATCAAGACCTTCATCGACAACTACGGCCATGTGCCGCGCCGCGAGCTCTCCATGGACATGGTGCCAAAATGTCGTCAATTTTTGCGAAAATCGCCTTTTTTGCAGTTCAGCCACTGCGCCAAAATCTTACGTGAAGCGGAATCTGGGTTTTACTTTGTGGGTTTTTGGAGTTGGGTATTTTGGTGGGCAAAGTGCAAAGAATACGGACTTGGTTTTTAGTTTAAGCCTAGGCATAACAGCTTTAAAGCTTTCACGGCATTTGGAGGGCCTTATAGTCAAAATCCCGAATATCCCCTCTACAGACCCCGATAAAAAACGAGTACCGCGGCAGCTTGCCTGTAAAGCTTTTTTGCAGCTGGAGCTTCACTGGAGCGGCCTGGCGCTCACCTACATCAACGCCTACCGCTCCGGGCGCATCTACGAGGAGCCGTTGAGGGTCTACTCCTCCCAATGCTTGGGAGATCGCGCCTGCAGATATAATGCCCTGCGACCTCCACTGCATGTGCTTTCTTTCGGCTTGTTGATGTCTACTGATTAATTTTCCGCTGTACCCCACAAAAACCAATCCCACACTGTACTCCACCGTCACGTTTCGTCTGAAATAAATATTTTTAAAAAATTGCATGTGGAATTGAGTTGCGAAATTTGCATCTAAACTAGGAAATTTGCATAAGATTTCGGGCAGACGGCTCTGTTCCCCGCCAAAGCCTTCCCAGTCTCTTCCAACTACCGATTCCCTGAGCGGCTCGGAAGATGCTGATCACCCTGTTGCGCTTCTTCCTAGCTCGGGTATGCAAATGATGCAAATTTTTTAGAAGGGTTTTGCAACCCGTTTTTTTTGCGATTCGAGTCGGTTCTTTTCTTTTCAAATAACTAGCTAAAACGTAGTCGAAAATCGGCTCTTTTTGGGCGCAAAATTGATATGTTTTGCAATCTTGCATAAGAATTTTTATGGCTTTCACGCTTAGGAACACTTAAAAAAACTTAGAAACTCTTTTCCATCTTAGAAAAATTTAACAACTAAAAAAGGTCGCTCCTTCGCCCCCCCCCGGTAATGCAAAAGCACCCTGAACTTTTGTTTTAGACGATATACCATCCTCCGGTCGACAATGAAGACGAGTGTACGGTATCCGCACCTCCGGAATCCCCTGGTCCCTTTTTCCTGACCGCTTGGGAGGGGGACGAAAGTGATGAGCCGGATGAGCCTGATGAGTATGAAGTGCAGACTCGCGATAATGTATGTTTTCTACCCCCAACTTTGATACTCAAGCAGTTTTAGCCGTTCGACAACGTCCCCCTCACCTTCGACAAGTTCAAGGCGTTGCCCATCGAGCTGCAGCAAATGATCGTCGCCCGTCTCCACCCGGGCTACTGGCTGACGCTTGCCCATCTGCATCCCCACTTCAAGGTGAAGCTACAGGGGCACTGGACTGCTAGCGGGGGGGGGGGGCGTTGTGATTAATTTTTCCCGGTAATACTGAACGTTCCTGTAACCAAATATAAAGCTTTTGGTAAGAGTTTACTTTACCCCCCACAGCCGAAGGGTCTCAAAGTTTTTGGTATTTTCGCTTATTTTGTCGGGATTTTTGCAACGCCATTCGATAGAGCGTCGAAAAATAACTCTTCGTATATTTTCGACGCTCTATCGAATGGCGTTGCAAAAACCCCGACGAAATACGCGAAAATACCGAAAACTTTGAGACCCTTCGGCTGTGGGGGTAAAGTAAACTCTTGCCGGAAATCCGCACTCCCCCCCGCTAATGGTCAAGCACCTATAAGCTGATGAAAACTTTCAAATAGTCTGCCTAGAAAAATAATTTTAGGCGCTGATCATAAGCCTGCGAAAGCGCTACTACATCGCCTCCCAGGGACAAGGCCCGGTAAAGGAGCGGTTCGCCTACCTCCCATATGAGTACAAGTTGGTTCTACATTGCTCGGGAGCAGCAAACCTCTTCCAGTGGCCTCTATCTGACCTACAACCCTCCTACTGGCGACGACATGGGCTTCGAGCTCTGCTACATCCGCCGATCGTACAAAATGAAATTTTCACAACAACTTACCTGTGCCTAGAAAACGCGAGTGGTGGAGTGAATTGGCGACGCTCGAGTGCGAGCGGTACGACGATCGGATGATGATTATCGTCGACGACGCTGGGCTGAGTGATGTATGGCTTTCTCGGTGCTTTTGCAGTATGGGGGGGTGGCAAACAGATAAGCTTAAAAATTTTTTGACGGCAATATAGTTAAACCTTAGTAAAATTTACTATTCACGGTAATGCGAAGGATCCCGTTCTCTCTGCCTGTCCCTCTCGCTCCCTCTCTTTCTTACTCTCTCTCACTCACTCTCTCTTTCTATCTCTCTCTCTCTCTCTCTCTCTCTCTCTTTCTGGCCTTCTCTTTCTGGCCCTCTCTTTCTGGCTCTCTCGCGTTCTAGAGATCGAGCTCTAGCCCGCGCTCTCTCGCTCTCTCTCTGCCTCTCTCTCGCTCTCTCTCTCTCTCTCTCTCTCTCTCTTTCTGGCTCTCTCGCACTCTGGAGCTCGAGCTCTCGCTCTCTCTCTCTCTCTCGCTCTCTCTCCCTCTCTCTCCCCCTCTCTCCAACATAAATTCAGGCCGAAGCCGAAAAGAAGCTCCAGAAGCGAATCAAGGACGACGTGGAGATCCTCTTAACAAATTGCCACCTCATCAAGGTATCGTTAATTTTTAGCTGTGTTATTTTTGTCTCAATTTCCAGTTCCAAGGCGGACGTCAACCAGGCCCTTTTCCTGGCATGAAGGCCGACATCCTTGAAGAAACCCACGGCGGCACGCCCGAATCGTTCCGCCGCGGCATGGGTACGAAAGCTGCGCTTTTGGCAAATAGTGTCTCTGTAGGCCCGAAGGCAACCTAGAAATAACCTTTTTCTAGCCGAGCTCGGTGCGCACAGCTACATGGCCAACACGCACCCTCGCTGCCGGAACGAGACCTGCTTGCCGTTGATCGGTGCCATCGCTGAACACGCTCCGGTACGCCACGATTGACAGCTTCTGCCTCCAAGCGATTTTTAGACTAAGCGGTAGATAACAAATATTTGCGTGAAATGAATCATTTTATCTACCTTTTAAAGCCCGCGTCTTGCTTTTATAGTCTCTTGAAATAAATGGCTTTTCCAGCTCCTCAAACGCCTCGACTTTGGTGTCGGCCGCACGCTCTACGAGATCTGGGCCCTTCGCAAGGTCAAGATCCCGGTGATGCACATCCGCTACTACAGGTCGCTGCCGAGGCCCAACGAACAGGGTCCGTTTTAGTTTTACAAATTTTTTTCCAGTCGGCTTAATCCAGTTGTCTGATTTCAGCCGGATCGATGCCGTTCTTCAAGGAGCTTGGTGTTCCCCGTGCCCCGGTGCCCACCCCGGAAGGCTCGCTCCGCGTACTGGAAATGGTGCAGAAAACCTGCCAGGAGATGATTAAGGTGAGAGCTGGGCAGGGAAAACCATCCATAAAGAAACCTTGAGAACCGCGCGAGTTACGAGATTTTTCGGTGCTTGTTCGTTAGCGGGGGCTAGAAGTCATCGGAGGCAAGGAAAAGCCTGCTCCGATCTACCCTCCCCCCCCGCCCCGTTAGCGCACCAGAACCTGATTGCTACGCAACGCGCTCTGCTGACTTTTGATTGCGTAATTCCAAGCCATTCTGTCAAATCCTCCATATTCAGCAATGGAAAGCCGGGGAGCGCGTGATCGACTCGATCGAATTCATGCTTGACGGTATCGAGGCCGCGGCCAGACGGAACGTGCTTGCATGGGATTCCGTGCTCGAGGGTTTGCGTGATTGTCAGGGACAAATCAAAGCCTCTCAATCAAGGCATGAAGGCGATTATGGTGGATCTGGCGCAAGGACAGCTGGACGCGAAAATCAACAATATGCACGCGCTGATTCGTCGCCGTGAGGATGTAGGTTTTTGGACAGATTCAGCCATGGCCAGAGCCAGACCGATTCAACGGAATTTCCAGAGTGACGCTGGTCTTTGCATCGTCGTCACCCATCGCTGGTCGATTATGCTGGCTGGGTGCAGCTACGCGTTCCGCAGGTGTGATTTCGGGGGTGCTTTGGCATTATCGGGGGGTGGAAGGAATTTTGCAACATGAATTTGTAATTTGTAAAGATTCTAGTTAAATGCTTGTCTTTACGCCATTAAACTTTTCGGACCTATAGGAAAAAGTGGGTTTCCTCCCCCAATAATGCAAAAGGACCCGAACGATTACACTTTCAACTCTCTTCATCCACATGTTTCCAGCGCCCGCACCGCTGCCCAGGAGAAGGCCTACATTGACGCCGGGCTGCGCCTGACCGACTCGATGAAGGCGGTGGAGCGTCAGCGCGGCTGGTCCACGCGCAACACGCTGGAACTGGGCGACGGCCGCCTCTCCCTCATCGAGTACAACCTCACCCCGGCGGACCAGGTAACAATTTTGGAGGGTTTTTTGAACGCGCTGCGGTCGGCGTTGCGTGCCGCTGCATTCAAAAAATTCCAGGTTAAGAATTTACATTGTATTTAGATAGAGAAACAATATAAAAATGATCAAAAGCTTTGACGTTTTGATCAAAAAATGTATGAAAAATAGGCAAAAAAAGGTCTATTTAAAAAATATTTTGTATAGCTTTAAAGGAATGAAAAACTACTAGAAACACGATAAAAATAGGTTATTGATCATCAACAGGTATGGCTGGAAAAACAGCGAGTGGTTACCGCCGGCTAACAGACCAAAACCCCATTTTACAGAAACTGGTCAACGAGAAGAGGCTCGTTTTCAACAACGCCCTCCGCGCCTTCATCAACGCCTACGACGATATCCCGCGCCGAGAGCTGGCCCTGGACATGGTGGAGGGGTCAATCTTGAGCATCAGCTTCTTTTAGGCCCTCCACGTTCAGGACCTCGGCCGCCGGATGGAGCATGGGCTGCTTTGTGTGAGTTTTTTTGAGTTTTCGATTGCCGATAGCGTTTGAAAAGCCTCGGAAAAATTACCTCATGCTTCTTTTTCAGCTGGAACTCCACTGGTGCCGCCGCACTCTGACCTACCTGAACGCCTTCCGCACCGGCGGCTTCTCTGTCGATTCGACCGGGGCCCAGTAACTGATCAACTTTCCGAAATCTCTGGCCGATCCCTTCCGCTTTTTGTATGTCAATATACGCCTCGATGGCTTTTCCTATGCCTATGCTACACACTCCTTTTTTTCTGATTCCTCGTGTTCCAATGTCGCGGTTTTTGGGCTTATTTCCGACAGTGTGTGCACAATAAATATTTTATTCCGAACATTGCAATTTGCAACTGATATTAGGTATATATGGAAATCAAATACACTTTCTGAAATTTGCATATGGAATAAAGATTTCCATTGGCACCGCCCATTTTTGGCCTCATTCTCACCCATCTACCGCTCTTCTTTGTGCCGCACAGCCAGTCATGAAGGAGGTAAGGAAGCTGAGATGCTAAATCACATTTCTAGCACATCGCCACCGACTTCGGCAAGTTCAAGGCGCTGCCCCTGGAGCTGCAGCAGATGATCGTGGCTCTTCTCACGCCGTTCGACTGGATCGCCATCGCGAACCTGCACCCTTACTTTAGAGTAAGTGGCACAATTTTTCCGTTCATTAACAAGGGGATGGTCTCAGCTCGGAATCGAATTTGGATTTGAAAATTTGCACACTTATAGAGCTCGACGAGACAAATCGATTGGTGTAACTTTCAGCAGCAGATACCCCGAACTAACAAAGTTATAAGCATTTTTAGTTTTTGCATACATTTTGCAGATTTTTCGCCATACCTTCATAAGCCCTCCCCCTTCCCCCATCAGCGTGGTCTGGTGGTCTAGTGGCGTGGTACGCGGCGTCTGGGGAATCTATCAAGGGTTCGAACCCGCTCACGATTTTTATTTTTTGCTTTTTGGTCCAAAGATTCCTCTTGGCATTCCAAAGACCTTTAATGGCTTTTTTAGGCATTTACCAGAACCAGGAAGCGTTCCAACAATAAGCAGCTTTGTGAAAAATTTAAAATTTTATGCCTGTGCTCATGCCTCCTCAAAAAATTTTGGGGAAATTTTCAGAAGGCTGGCAATCTGCTTATCAACACTTTATCGTATCCCAAGCTGCATGAAAATAATCAAAATTATTTTCTTTGAACTGATCCTACTATGGTTACCTTGCCAACTTTCAAAATTTCCAAAAATTTTTAGGAGTGGGATTTTTTGCTGCGAGCGCTTCCTGGTTCCTGGTGCATGTCTAAAAAGCCATTAAAGGTCTTTGGAATGCCAAGAGGAATCTTTGGACCAAAAAGCAAAAAATAAAAATCGTGGGCGGGTTCGAACCCTTGATAGATTCCCCAGACGCCGCATACCACGCCACTAGACCACCAGACTACGCTGATGGGGGAAGGGGGAGGGCTTATGAAGGTATGGCGAAAAATCTGCAAAATGTATGCAAAAACTAAAAATGCTTATAACTTTGTTAGTTCGGGGTATCTGCTGCTGCAAGTTACACCAATCGATTTGTCTCGTCGAGCTCTATAAGTGTGCAAATTTTCAAATCCGAATTCGATTCCGAGCTGAGACCATCCCCTTGTAAGCCTTGCAATTTAATTTTGTATTGAAATTAAATTAAAAATTAACCTAAACGTTGAGTTTTACGTCGAAAACTCGAAGTTTTCGCCCAAAATGACGAAAATTTGCCAATTTTCTAAGCTTTAAAAATCCCTCTACGCTCTATCTAGCTGATTTTTTCTAAAAATAACTTATACTCGTGGATTCCAAGTCAAAAGGCTATCTAAAAACCTAGGAAAAAAATTTGGAAAAGAAAAACGCTGTCCACTGCCAACGCACAAGCGCCCTCGTCACGTTCATCTACACCCTCTCCTGCTCAGGCCCTCATCACCGCCATGCCAAAACGCTACCACGTGCTCAGGGAGTGTGCGGACTGGACTTCAGGAGAGGGGCCATATCAGCCCAAGTGAGTGCTCAACCGTCACTCGAAAACATTTCACCTCAGCGGTCTCCACCTCGTGATCAACACCCGCCTCGGCAACCAGGAGACTTTTCAGACGTTCTACATCCGCCAGTCGTAAGTGGCCTTCATTACGGAGAGCAGCCTGAATCTCTGGTTTAGGAAGCGCGACAACGAAGCGGAAATGAAGCTGCTGCTCGGGAAGATGCACGATATGGACAACCATAAGATGCTGCATATTCTGGATGATGGAGGAATGAACGAGGTATGGCTTCGCCTTAAAGCGATACCCAAGGTTTTGGTGGCAAATATATAGTTAGGTTCTTTAGGATTTCCGGGGAACTCAAATTTTTTCGGTCCGAGCCTAAATTTTTTTCTGAATAGCGCATGCGTTTCTAAATGGTTTTTAACTAGTCCTGGCCTAATGGATAGCATCTAGGCCTACAAAACGCAGGTCCCGGGTTCGACCCCCGCCCCTGGCTTGGTTTTTGCTTTTTGAGCCGCGAAAAGGTTGGGCATCCCTTTAAGGGATAACTTTTCTGATAACGGTTTTTTTGCCCTATTACACTGTTTCTAAACGTAAAAACGCTATAAACTTTTAATTAGAAAAATGGAATTCTTAGAATTTTTCGAAAAATGGACGTAAGTTTCCGAAAAATGCGCGAAATGTCAGATTTTTTATAAAATTCCGCAGACTTTTATAGCATTCTAAAAACAGCTAAATTATACTAAAAAGATTATTAAAATACTTGCTACTCGGTAATTCGGCATTGTTCAACTTGTTGCTCAAAAACACGGCCCCCGATATCGTGAAAAAACCCAGGATTGACGTAGGCTTAGCTGGGTTAGGCAAGCTTCTGGCACTTCAGTTTTTTCTGATCAAGCTACCAATGTCAGTTTCAGAAAGAAGCCGAAGACTTGCTCGAGAAACGCATCGACCAAGACCGCGTCATGCTCTGCGAGAATTCGTATTCCAAAATGGTGAGAGCCGCTTCTTCAAACAGCCACGGTCTTGTATTTTACTTTTGCGATGCCGGCTAATTTTATACACTTTCAGGCAAACCCCAAAATGAATCGAAGGTTCCGATACTGTGGCCAGCGCGCTGACCTTCTCGACTACTCATTAAACCACACTCCGATCGAGGGGCTGTCGACTGGCTACGGTACGGATTCCGCTCATGTTACATTTTTGTTGCCCCCCGCTATTGCAAAAGAAACAACATCACATTTTTTTCTGAAAATTAAATTGGGAAAATGCTGTATAACGGATAATTACACCACTTTTAAGAACGCTACGGAGCCCGGCACTATCTGATGAACAACTCGTTGATGTTCACCTTGCCCCTCGTTGGCTTCCCGCTCATCCGCGCCATCATCGGGATGGAGAAGGTCGGGCCGAACTAAAAAAATCGAAACTTCTTGGAAGTATCGCTCTTTTAGTATTCAAAAACGGATTGGCCGGCAAGTAATCTTTTTTTAGCCATTCCAACGCGTCGAGCTCGGCATCTACGGCTCGCAGGACGAATTCGGGGAGTTGCCCAAGCTGAACGTGCCTATGATGCAGATCTGGTTCCCGGTTGGGGTCGAGCCGGAGCGTGGGTGCTTAATGTTGTTACAGAAAACAAAAAGGATAGACTATTTTTACTATGCTGTCACACATTTTCGGTTAGTAAAAGCCATACAAATGTTAGAATGAAGAATTTCGACGCAAAAAAAGCTAAAAAAGTAGCAATTTTGGAAGCTTTGACCATTTTTCTGCGCTTTTCGCCCAAAAAACCAAAATTTTCGAAAAAACTGCACTCATTTTCATTCACCTCAAAATTTCGAAAAACGCCAAAAATTTCGAAATCTATCGAAAATTTTAGGTCGTCCCCACCCTAACGGCCGCCCCCGCCATTATGTGGCCGAATGGGTTCAGGACGGTCCGCTGCAAGATGAGGTTTTCAAGGTGCTCGAGACGGTCAAACAGACCTGCCTGGAGATGATTGAGGTACGAGCTTAACTCCAACCCCATGCTCCTCTTGTTTGCAGCAATGGATCGCCGGCGAGCGCGAGATCGACTCGATCGAGCTTTCCCCGCGCCCGGTGAGCTTCTTCTGGATGCAATGGGATGCGCTGCGTCCAGGTTTGGACATTTTTTAATCTAACCGGGAACTCCAGAAATCTTGCGCACCGTCTACGAATTAGCCGAGGGTCGTCTTGATGCGTTCCGGGGCAAACCGAACTTTGCGCTGATCCGCCGCGGAGAAAATGTGGGGATTTTCACGATATCCAAAATTACTATAACCAGAGTCGCGACGGCCTGTGCCTGGTGGCCACCCAGCGGTGCTCGCTCGTGCTGGCCGGATGTGACTATTGGTTCCGCAGGTATAGAACTTGTTAAAAGGGAAAATGTGGCTTAAGTGCAGTTTACCAGCCCCCCCAGCCGACGCCAGCCTATCGTATCTCGGCTGCCTGTTGATCTGCAGCTGTGTAAGGTATACCAAAATACTCGTCAGAGCAAGGCGAACATTTTGGTATATTTTACACACCTGTAGATGAACAGGGAGCCGAGATACAAAAGTTGAGCGCCAGCTGGGGGGTGTAAACTGAACTCTTACCGAAAACGGCTTTAAAATGAGTTTTTTCTAGGACCCGCGACCGCAGCCAGCAGCTCGGCTTCGTCCGCGCCGGACAGGCGATCACCGCGGCGATTGCAGCGATGGAGACGGAAGGACGATCGACGAGCGAGTGCCGGATTGAGGACATGGGCGACGGGCGGATTCAAGCCAAGATTCAGTGGACCCTGAAGCCTCTTCAACAGGCGAGTGTGGACTGGCTTGTTACCGGAGGAGAGGGGGGAGAACGAGAAAGAAAGCAAAAAATAAAAATATATTTTTGGCTCTATAGGCGCGTCTCGAAATGAGGAGGCGAGACCTCGACAGCAAGATTGAAGCCCTCATCCGCAGCCACGTGAATGTGTCGCGGCGTGAACTGACCCTGGATATGGTAGCTTATTTTAAAGCTTAATTTGAAAGCGTTTACCGTCCTGGGCTCAAAAACTTTTTCAAAACCTCTGTTTTAGTACATCAACATGCACGAGTGCTCCTCGCCCCGCACGGGCCGCGTAGAGAAGGAGCTTGTGGGTGTATCTCTCTCTCTCTCTCTCTCTCTCTCTCCCTCGCTCTCTTTCGATCGCTCTCTCACTCTTTATCTCGTTAGCTTTATTTCGTATTATACTGCCTCTTTCAGCATAAACTTCACTGGGACCCCACTAGCCTCGAATACATCGACGCCTACCGTGCCCGAACCCAAATGCCCGTACTGAAAAAGAAGGCCAAGAAACCCCGCCAGCCTGCCGTTTAAGCCGCTCTTCAAAACGCCACCAAAAACAACGACCTCTATTTCTTAACCATCGCCTTTCTTTAATTATTCATTTGCGTTATTTTTATGGTCTTTTTGAGTCTATTTTTGTGGAATAAACAGTTAAAAGGAATCTTGGTTTGGAAAAGTTGCGATACACCACTACGAGCCGTATGTTGCACACGGCTTTACAAACAGCATAACCTTGGCTTGTAGCACCTCGTGAAAAGGTCTTGAGAGAGTTGATTAACTACATACCCTGGCCATTTCTCTCTCTCTCTCTCTCTCTCTCTCTCTCTCTCTCTATCTCTCCGTTTCGCTGCGCCTGTCTCGGCTTCTGGGCCATGACACGAGACCACCCACCACTGCCAGCCGCCTGTTACACAGTCTTTTCCATTGGCTTTCCCTTGTCTAACCCGCTAACCTGCGAGTTTTGGTGGCAACGTATTACAGTAAATGGTACTTTCGTGTCAGCAAATTTTTTCGCTCCTGTTCGCTCTCTCTCCCTCTCTCTCTCACTTTCTCTCTGCCTCTATTTCGCTTTCGCTCTTGCTATTTTCCTGGATTTTTAACCTTGCGAATATCGCTTGGTTAGCTTAGCCTTGTGACTTTTAAGTCTTTCAGGTGTTCCTCACCTCCACCTTGGCGTTAAACCAACCTCGGCTTCATTAAAAGCCGACAACCAGCAATTCTTAGGCCATCTAAAAAAGTAAAGTTCTTTCTAAGCCCATCAATAATTATTTAGGAACTACAAGCTGAAACCAGCCAGCCAGCGCTATCATCAAAAAAAACATTGAAACCAAAATAGCGCTGCCGATCTCCATCACGAGTGCAGTAAACTTCTTGGTAAATTTTTCATTGCGTAAAAACAATGGAGTAATGACTAGAATATCCGATTTCGATGAATTAAGCCGCGATCGAGAATCCCCGAGCACAAAAAAAGTTATATTGTTGGTTTTGGAATCATGATTTTGTTAGATTTACTGATGCTACACAATTTGCCAATTTTCCTATTTCTGGCAGCCCTCGAGCAGCCGTTTTATTTAGATTTTGATTCCATATCAAAAAAACACTAGTCCAAAAAAGTGAAGGAAATTTTGCGAAAAAAGTGATTAATTTGATTGGATACCGTGAAAAACTCAGCAAAATTAGCGGATTTTAAAAAAAACAACGACACGCTTTTGTTGCCGTTTTAAGAGCTTTGATGTTGTCGAAACTCGGGCAGCAGGGTTTGAAAATCGGGGCCCCTTTGCGACATCCGCTAATAAACTGATTTCAGAAATTCCGCGTCGAAACTACGTCCATCCAAACCACAATGAATTCCATTTATGGAAAATGTCGCTTGTTGTAACTAGCACTGCCAATTTCGATAACAAGCTACGAGACGTTATAGATTCACCATCAGGAACATCACCAATCAGAAATTACCTATATACTTTTCAACTACGAAACTAAGCTAAGGCGCGTTAAATACTAGCTAAAAATAGCGCTTTTCAAAAATTTGGTTTGCATGATGCTAGAATCTAGTAACAACCAATCATCTATTTTCCAACTTTGACAACAAGCTAAGGGGCGCCATGGATTAGCTAAGCATTCCAAAAATATAATTCTCATGGTGTCCGAACCCGGTAAAAAATATTCTTGGAATTTTCAACTTGCTAATAAAATTAGGGACACTATAGATCATCTAAGCTTTCCTATACATGTGATTTTTTTGCGTGGCTGATTTTCTTGGCAGCATGATCCCTAATCCACCCAATTTGGAGACTGCGAACCAATTTAAGTGTGAGAAATCTCGTCTACAAATGTAGTAAACCTCGAAAACCAAATGCTAGAGTCAATCTTTCAAAAAGCGCGGGACTAGTTCAGGGATAACCCTAGATGCAACTCTGGAATTTTATAGGATATTTTGTTGTGATGTTTTCGGGTCGAGAATTGGTAAAAAAGTCATCAATTCATCCATATCGTTGTGATTGCATTGTTTGTGCTTGAAAATTGTGGCAAATATGTTGCAAGCTACAAGCAAAAAGTAAACACTTGTTTTGAAGGAATTCTGAAAAACTGGAAAACATTCAAAGACACACAAGCAAATAAAAAACATTGAAAAACTTTACATTTCTGTTTGCATTAGCGATTTGCCGGTAACGCGACACGCAACGCACGCGATGGAAATTCCATAGCGTATCGAATGGTACTAGACTGTTAGCGGGCGGGGGGGGCAAATTTTTCCTAGTAAACCCATACGGCCGACCAGAAATATAGAACATTTTTGTAGCACTTTACAGGGTTTTTAAATACAAAAACAAACCTAAAAAATTGCCGTTTGGAGTGTCATTAGTTTTGTCCGGACTGGAAGTTTCTTCACGTTCGGGTAGTGTAATGCCATAACCCGTTTTGAGAACTCCAAAAAATCTGCATTTCGCTCGCCTTGTATCCAACAAAATTTCCATAAGATGCAGCACGAATAATGTTTGGTTTGAGCCAAAATTCCCTTTATCCTGCCTCCCCTCCTTCAGTAGGGTGGCGCGCCCGGAACATGCTGTTCACCCTGCTCCGCTTCTTGTTGGCCCGGGTATGCAAAATATCCTAATTGCGTGCTGCGTACTAAAGCTCAAAGCGCGGTTTCAGACTTACTACCATCCTCCGGCCGACAGTGATGATGAGGATACGGGATCGGCTCCGGCGACTTCTGGATCGCCCTCCCGAACTTCCAGCTCAACCTCGGATCTTCAAGTGGTGCGGGTTGAACTCGATAAAGCTGTCGAGCCCGTGCTTTAGAAGCCCGCCACAAAGATCAACACCAAAGAAGCAAAAACTGCAGCGCCTAAGAAGGTTCAATTTTCAAATTAGACGATAGCTACGTATTGCAGCGTGTCGGCACGGGCCTCCTCGTCTTCGACGAGTTCAAGGCGTTGCCCATCAAGCTGCAGCACATGCTCTTGGCCCGGCTGACCCCGCTGGAGTGGCTGGTTATCGCCAAACTTCACCCATACCTAAAGGTAGCAGATGAAAAGGAAGTTCTGGTGTGTTAGCGGGGGGCCTCGCTCATTAAAAGCCAAAAAAATGAAATACAAACGATTTATATGGGTTTGATCTCGTCATTCAGCATAGACAGAAAAATTTAGATTAAAAAAATCAAAAAATTTCATTATTATTTCGAAATTTTTTACTTTTTCGGTACTTTAGCATTATCGGGGGGGGGGGCGGAGTATCGGGAACAAATCAACCTCTTTTGGCCAAAATACAATTTCTCTAAGATAAATAGGGGAAACTCGTTTCCACTGTTTTTACTACTGCTTTTTACTAGCCCCCGTTTTTGTTTGTAAAAATGTGAAAAACCTCAAATTTTTCGAATCTTCAAATTTGTAAATTTGAAATTTAGACCCTCATTACGGCCATGCCAAAACGCTACTACATAGCCGCCGACGGAGCGCACGCCTTTCCCTGCCAAGGAATTGGTGAATATTTGCGAAAGTAAGAGATCTGAACAAATTTTTTACGTTAATTTTAATGAAATCAAAAAGGTTTAAATTTTTTAGTGGGGTCGCCATCATTCGCAAGGGGGTTGATGGCACTCAGCAATACTACGAGACATGCTACGTTCGCCGGTCGTATGTGTTTGGAATTTTTGCCGTTGAAGGCGCTTTAGGAAGCGCAACCCGCAAAACGAAATGCAGTTGCTGAGGTTGGACCGAAAGCACGACCGGATGATGTACATCATCGAGGATAAGTGGTGGAGTAACGTGGGGTTTTATAGATGCCTCTGACTGTATCGCGCGTCTTTCTCCTCTCTCTCTCTCTCTCTCTCTCTCTCTCTCTCTCTCTCTCTCTCTCTCTCTCTCTCTCTCTCTCTCTCTCTCTCTCTCTCTCCCGCACGTCTTGAACCCCATCTACTCCAGGCTGAAAAGAAGCTCCAGCAACTACGCGAAGAACACAACACCCTCCTCTTCAGCAACGCCCATACCGATAGGGTCCGCTTTTTACCGGAATCCGTCTTTATCATCGATAATCCCCCACCCCCGCTAATGAACCAGAACCGATTGCAGTTCCACCGCGGTCAGCAACCCGGTCCCTATCCCGGTCAGAGGGCCGACCGCTTCTGCGACTCGAACTCAGCTACTCCCGAATCGTTCCGACGGGGAATGGGTGCGCGGTCGTCTGTTTCAAAATAGTACTAGTTTTCTAGAAGAATGTCAAGCCCACAGTTACTCGGCCAATATGGAGGTGCCCGCCCATCATAATTCGAGCCTGCAACTGATCAGGCCATTGCGGAGTTCGAGAGGGTAGCTGAAGCTCCATTACTGTTTATCTCTCTCTCTATCGCTTTCTCTCTATCGCTATCGCTCTCTATCGCCGTCTGTCGTTCTCACCCTCATTCCATCCCACTCTCCATCTCCCTCTCTCTCGCTCACTCACTCTCTCTGCTCGCTTGCTAATCCCTTTAAATACCTTGCTTCATCCAGCCCCTCAAACGCCTCGACATCGCCATCGGCCACTCGGTAGACGAACTTCATGCCCTCTGCAACGTGACGGCCCCAGAGATGCACATCCGCTTCTTCCTGGTTCCGACGAGAGCGTGGGTTTCGAGCCCATCCAATTTCTTTTCGAGCCCCACTTTAGTCAACTACCACCGCATCAATTGTCTCCGCATTCCCGAGCAGGCCACCCCGCAATTTCTACGCGCAATGTGGCGCGCCATCGACGAGACTTGCGCGGAAATGATTTGGGTTCGACTTTCGCATTACTACACGACCATTAAAAACATAAAATTTTTGAGGGCGGGCTAGTCGGACTACCACCGTCTTTTTCAGCAATGGAAGATCGGGGAGCGCGAGATCGACTCGATCGACATTTGGCCGCTGGCCCCGTCGCTTCCCGATAGCGTTCAGCGTCTCGGAGGCACGAGCGGTTTGTGGCGTGGTAGCTTTTTCGCTGTCGACTGGGCAAAAATGCTGACATATTCAAATTCCGACATTCTCGAACCGCCTAAAATTTGAACA